GATCGCTAGGAAAGCATAGGAAGATCCTAGAATTCATTGTTTGGAGTTTGCTTTGGTTTGGTCATCTTGCCCTCTTAGAACATCAGTCCTCATAAATACAATTGTTAAAACTCCTCTAACATTCAGAATTAATGAGTTGTATGCTTTGGTAACTTCCATTTTGGAAAAAAAAAAAAAATCCCAGTCCCTTGCAAAAATATTCTATGTCACTTGCACTAACTGTGGGGCAAAGGGAGAAAATGCCACTATTGGCAGGTTAGTTTGACTTCTCTTCTTTGCCTCTGTGATTTGCTGCTTCTTAGACATTGACATCCCTTGTGTGCCCTGCCTTCAAACACACTAGGTGCCTAAAATAATACCAAACAGTGGGCAGAACATACAAACCTGTCCTGACCCCTTGGGTGTCTTGAAGAATTAATACAAAGGGTGACCATGTGTCCTTGTTTGCACATGATCTGAGAAGCCCACTGGGGCAGACAGTGACCCACTGCAGGGGGGCGCTGCTTGATATTATGGGAGAACCCACCTGTGGATGACCCTCTGGACACTGGCTCTCTCTGCATGTTTCACGAAGAGGGACCAGGGGAAGGATGTGGTCCTGCCTACTTTCTCCTTCCCTGTCTTCCTTTTTTGGAGAGGGCAGGGGTTCTGTGGAAGGACAATTACCTTTTGAGCCCTACTGCGCTCAGATAAGGTACTAGCTGTCCCCCATCCCCTTAGGGGGAGGATGGTCTGTGTGCTGTCTCCATCTGTCCTGACAGCACCCACCTGTCACGAGGGTCCCAAGAAGTGAGCCAGAGGAGAGGTCATTTTTTTTTAACCTCTGAGGTTGAGGTTGAGGTTAATATTCCAGTTTATAGAATGGGTAAACTGAGGCTCCTATCCAAATCTGTAATTATCCTCAGCATATGCATAGTGACCACAGCCTTGAGCATGACATTTGTGGAAGAGAAGCTTTTGGCCTACCTGCCTGGGTAATTTAGCCGTCATCCAGAAGGCAGTTAGCCTACAATTTGAAGTCATGTCTGAGTTACGTTTTCTCTTAGAGGTGAAGTTTTAGCAAAGGAGGCTGGTTTTTAAAATTGAAACAAGATGCTGGGTGGGGAAAGGGGAGAAAAGAGCAGAGCACTTTCCCCCTGTATCCAGCCATTGACAGTTTTACACATAAGGTGATGTGAATCCTACAAGCAAGGCTATCAAAGGCTCCAGATCTGAGTTTCTGTTTCCCTGGTGGAGAGGGGTAGAAGTGTAACCGCCCTCTGAGTGGAAGGACCGAACAGCATCCAGGTGATCCGTGAGGCCCTCAGTTGAGGGCATTTGGGGTTTTGTAACTAGACAGTGTGTCATGATGGAGCCTCCCATGGATCTTTTACCTGCCCTACGCACCATTGTAGGGGGGGATCTGCTTCCTGAGAGTATAGGGGAACCCGCCTCTGTTGTCCTTGTTGCTCTGCTAGCCTCCCCCACATGCCTCCAGGATACCTCAGCCCAGAACTGCTTCAGCTCAGGGGTGACAGAGAATGGAGGCAGCAGTAGTTACTTTCCCAGTGGGAACTCATGCCTCGGGTCTTTCAGTGGCACGGGGGGGTATCAGTTAAGTAGACACTGCCTCCTCGGGACACAGAAAGCTCAGCGTCCGTGGCAGTGGCCGTCTCCATGAGGGGCTCTATCTCTGAGCTCCAAACCTAGCCCAGTGGTCTCCCAATCTGACCTGGGCCCACAGCATTGCCTGAGAACGCCCTGGGGATGGCAGATTCGTGGGCCCCGCCCTAACAATGGGTGACCCGCCCAGCCCTCCAGGTGATTCTGGCATGCTGGAGTTGGAGAACAGCTACCCCACATGATCTTGTGGCTCTGGGCCTGGGAGATCTTTGGTCTACCCTAGAAACTGACCACTGCTGGTCAGACTGAGAGGAGTTGTTCCCTTTAGGTTCTCCAGAACATGCAGAGCAAGACTTTGTCTGAAAGGGCATACCATCTTCATAGACTAATTTTAGCTCTCAAGAACAATTGTCCCAATCAAAAAAATAAGCAGGTGATCATGTTTCAGAAAGGATCCTCCATTGTCTCAGATCCAGATCTAAGCCCATGCACTTTAGATGCTTTATTTGGCCCCCTGAGAGGAACAGACACTGATGAGGATGGGCCGCACCGGCTTGCCTGGAAACATCCTAGACTCTCAGAAAAGAGGCAGGTGCTAGTTCCGTGCAGGCCAAGCATGCCCTAGCAGCCCCACAGACATCAGGCCTTGCTGGGCTCCCAACTAACTTGGACTTCTTCCCAGAAAAAAGGAAAATCAATGCCAAACATTGTATCTACTTAAACTCTGGATCCCCTGAGGTCTAAATCAGTACTGGTCAGAGCTTCGCTGCTGCATTGTGTACATGTTCTTTTTGCCACGTTTCGGGAGCCGTGGCAAGAATATCAGGAGGAGTAGAAAATTGCTCCCTAACTTGCCTCTGCTTGTTTGGGGCCAACAGCGTCTCCTGCCAGGATTGGCCATGAGGGCACCTAGTGCTGGTCTGGCTGTGCAGGCGCTTTGCAAGTGCTCACTTAATCCACAGCCTTTTCTCCTTCTCATTTGTCTCTTTCCACCGAGGTCCTTCTTTCAGGGGACTCTGGGAGAAGTGGTTTGCTCATCTAGGAAGGCATGTGTTCTCCTAAGTGCCCTTCCTCCCAGTGGGGTCTTTGCCCTGTTCCTCCCTGAAGCACCTCCCACGCCTGTCCTTCCAGCTTCCCAGTGAACTCCTGCTCTGGAAGATTGCAAACTGCACACTTTGCCTCCTTGTCCTGATCGCCTAGCCAGAGGGCACGTGGCCTTTTGAAATTCTGGCACAGATGCTCTCCTCACTTTCCTTTTTCTTGCGTTCTTTTAGCTTCTTTATTCTACATTCTTGCAAACCCAGCAGGCTTTGGGAAGGGGCCCTACCCTCTCCAGAATGCCTCCCAGTGACCCTGGTCCTTGACTGAAGACAATCAGGGGAGATTCCCAGGCAGCCAGGGCTGGGAGGCAAGAGGTGAGGTACTGCTCCTGGCCCCACCAAACAACTTGCTGTGTGGCCTTCGATTCGTCAGGTGCCATCATTGTGGCTGGGGGAAAGGTGGTCTGGACAAAGTGGGATGCTAACTTAGAACATCTAGAAGCTATTTAATCAGGAAACCCTAACAGAGGTACCAGATAGGGATGGCAAGCCAGCAGGAGTGTGGTTAAAAGATAACAGGAAGTCCACATCGTTAGACTCTAGAGCTCAGAGCACCTGAGAGGGAAGCCACGTGTGGCGACAGGTCAGGATGACATGAAAGAAGCCAGTGTTTGGGGGCCGGAAGCAAGCTGGAGCTTTAGAACCCAAAGGAGCAGCACAGATTGACAGCACACGTGCAGCCAGGGCCCTCGCTGACCATGCTGGTTGAGCAAAATTTTGGATCGTGGCTGCCTTGGATTCTTAGCCCATATAATTTTGTATCGAGCAACTTTACAATAATCAGCCGGCAGTCCCGATCATGAATCTAGGCAGCTCCTGCAATGTTCTCCAGGCTCCGGGTCCACTGTGGCAGCCCGTCTTCCTCCAGGCTGTTCTTGGGTGCAGCCAGGTGTTGCAGATGGCGTCTGGGTCTCCATGATCCCCAGGCCCACCCAGACCTGCCGGGCACAGGACCCCGCAGTCTGTGCCTTGACAGCCCTCCTAGAGAGGCGGATGCACATTCCCGTTGAAGACCCACTCCTATCACAAAGCAGGGGGTCCTGATTAAGTTGGGAAGCCGGGAGGTCATGAACTGTTCAGCCAGTTCCACTCCACGCCCTGCTGGAGTGGAGTGCAAGGAGGGAAGCCCCTGGCCAGACTCACCCAAGCATCATGGGAAGGAGTGAAATCACCCTGGCCTGAGTTATCTGGCTGTTGACTTCCTTATGGCCTGAATCGTCAATCCCTAATGCAGGGCACGGGGCAGTGGAGAAACTCCGTTCTTGTTCTGGAAGTACTCACTTCAGGGTGGAAAGCAGAGTTTCAGCAATTTAGCCAACACATACTCCGTGTTCGCCAGAATATAAAGTTAGATGTGTTTTTTTGCGGAATATAAAATTCTCACGCATTTTTTTTTTTTTTTTAAGGAAAAACAAGAGTTCACAGTCTTTTCCCAGTTTTCCCTCACTGACTTGGGCTGTGCCACCCAGAACCACTCTGGGTCAGGTTACTCTTCTCTGCCCTCACACATGCCTTTTTGAAAGTTTTGGGAGACATGGGTCTTCTTGGGCTCAGTCTCTACAGGGAAATGGGGGGGTCTCATGTCTTCAACCATGTCTCAAGGAGCTCTGGGCTTCCTGGCCTCAACAGAAAAGTTGGTGTCGTTTGTGTATACTGTTCTGTTGGCTGTTAGAACCCAGATACAGGTGCCCCACACAGCCCCAGGGAAACATGAATTCTGTGAAGTTGTGGCCACACCAGTGGGTGTGTGGGAGTCAGAGGCATGGCCTCTGCCTCAGGAGGTGCTAGAAAGGCCAGGCTTCAGGCCTCAGTCTGACTTCTGAGGCCTAAATATGTGCCTTCCTGGGTCCCCTCCTCTGTAACAAATAATAAAAAATATGTCTGGCAACTATGTGAGTATAAAAACAGATATAATACAAGCTGGATTCTATTCATTTTTTCCTCTTCTGATTTTGATTTTTGTTTTGCATTTATTTATTTTTGAGAGAGAGAGGGAGACACAGAATCCAGAGCAGGCTCTAGGCTCTAAGCTGTCAGCACAGAGCCCGATGCGGGGCTTGAACCCACAAACCGTGAGATCATGACCTGAGCTGAAGTCGGATGCTTAACCGACTGAGCCACCCAGGCGCCCCTTCTCTTCTGATCTTGAAATAAAATATTTTCGTGGGCTCTGAGAGTCCGGCAGGCCCCAGGCACCATGCCTGCCAGGCCTGTTGGAGAAGTCAGCCCTGTAGAGATTCTCCTGGAAGATCCCTCTGAGTCTTAGACACAGAATAACCCCGCCCTTTGGTTGTTCAGAAAATCGGCTGTGATGGCATCATCGGGTCCGCGGCCAAGGAAGACCGGTGTGGGGTCTGCAGTGGTGACGGCAAGACCTGCCGCGTAGTGAAGGGCGACTTCAGCCACTCTCGGGGCACAGGTGAGTGCGAAGCCCCAGGGACAGGGGACCCTGGCCATGTGTGGGGGGTGGGGAGGGTGTGGGTGAGGGGAAGCCCCGAGGGTTACTGCCGCTGCAGGACAGCCTATAAGTGTTTATAGATTTTAATTCCTTTACCCAAAGCCAATGATCACACACCTTCTAGTTGATAATAGGTGACCTGGCCCTTCAGTTTTATGATTTCTGAAAGGCAAAGAGAAAACATTTTAGTCAGATTATCTTTAGGTTCCTAGAAGTGAGCGGTTTCCCTATGGTGGCCAGTGGTGCTGCCCTGACCTGCCCAATGGGCTCCCCTGTGCTTTGCATCAGCCTGTCTTCCGATGTGACACTTGGCCAGGTCGTTTTTACCTATAGACGGAAGATTCTCTGAGTGTTCTGTCAGCTAAAGTAGGACCGCATTTACACACATCCCTAAAACACGCATGAAGCCGAATGTTCCGGGAAGTCTGAGCTGCCTCTCTGGCAACTGTGAATGCAGAAGAGAGGAGTCTCCTGTTTCCCAGATGTAGACCTCCCCCAACACTGTGCTTACAGAGGTCCATCCAAGTTCAGCTGATGGGTCTTCGGAGGCTTTCTGCTAGAACTATCTTCGCAGCTGTGGGCTGCTTAGCCCAGAGGTGGGAGATGGTTTCTGATCGCCTGTCCTGGGGGACACTAGCTTATGATGTTCAGGGATGTGTCTGGGTTGACACATAACGAGGGGAGCATGAAGCAGGCAAGTCCTCTGGGGAGAGAGCTCTTCTCAAAGCCTTCGTGAGTGTCCGCTCGCCCAAGTGCGACATCACCAAGGTAGCTTGGTGGGCGGAGCTGAGCTGAAAAGTCTCCATTCGAATTTGAACGATTACTTTCCATAGAAGCTTTTCCCTTCAATTTTACCCCACAGGGGAACACAATCACAGGTAATCCTCTCTGTCCCACAGAACAGGCCTCTGGGAATGAGGCAGAGAGGAGAAGTCTGTGCGTGCTCCCCCTCTCCTCTATCTGGATAGAAGACCTGGTCTAGCGGAAACATTCCTTCTTGATACCTTGCAGAAAGGGCAACCTATTGCACAAGGATTTTGCAGGATCTGGTGAAAGCAAAACCAGAGGCAAATGTAAGCACAAAATTTAATTTTAAAATTATGCTTAGGAAGTGCATTTCAGGCCTGGTTTCTGGATTTTAAAGACAGGTGCCCAGTCTACAAAATAGGACACTTGTGTGAGAATCTGTGCCTGCTGCGTGGCTCCTGAGGTCAATGGAGGAAAGTAGTGGTAGAGCAAGTCAGTTTGGGGGGAAAGTGCCCTCCGAAGCTACCCCTTCCGGGACAGTAGTCACAGGCCACTTTAGGCTATTCAAATTTTAGTTATAGGGACGTCTGGGTGGCTTAGTCAGTTAAGCATCTGACTCTGGATTTCATCTCAGGTCATGATCTCACGGTTCATGAGTTTGAGCCCCACATGGGACTCTGCACTGACAGTGAGGAGCCTGCTTGGGGTTCTCTGTCTCCCTCTGTGTCCCTGCCCCACTCGAGCACACACGCGCGTGCACTCTCTCTTAAATCAATGTTAAATTTTTTTTTAATTATAATTAAAATTAAACAAACTTAAAAGTTCAGCCCTCGGTCCTACTAGCTACATTTCAAGTGTTCCATTGCCACACGTGGCTAGTGGCTCCTGTGCCAGACAGCACAGAGAGAGAACATTTCCATCATCGCAGAAAGCTCTCGAACAACACTTCTCTGGAATGTTGGTGATTTCTATTTGTTTTGACATGTCTAATGGCACTTTCTCTGTTTGGATCCCCAGCTCCAATCTGCCATGAGACTCTGACCTTGCCTACTTAGCAACAAAACCTCTGCAAGTTTTAGTACTGATTTTTTAAAAAGTGGGGGAGAGATTAGAACCTTTTTATTTAAATTGGGGCACCTGGGTGTCTCAGTTGGTTGAATGTTCTACTTTGGCTCAGATCATAATCTCATGGTTTGTGAGTTTGAGCCCCATGTTGGGCTCTATGCTGACAGCTCAGAGTCTGGAACCTGCTTCGGATTCTGTGTCTCCCTCTCTCTCTGCACCCTCCGTGGGTGCTCTGTCTCTCTGTCTCTCTGTCTCTCTCTCTCTCAAAAATAAATAAACATTAAAAAAAAAAGAACCTTTTATTTAAATCAAATGTTGTTCAGTAAACTGAACTAACTGTAGTTGCTCCCTTATGTGGAAGGCAAGTTGAACACATCTGTGCCCGCTCCTGCCCCCGGGGCAATTCAGTAGAACACTAAGGGTGGTTCTTTCACACACCTTTGAAAATCTCCACTGGAGGCAACATCGCAGCTCATTTCCAAGAGAACCCCAATGGGGGTAAAAAATGTTCTCTGTTTTTTCCTGGAGTCTAATCTGCTTGTTGACCTTTGATCTCATCATGAGTAGATGCATTCTTCCAATCACAGTAACTTTTTTTTTTTCTTGCCTCCCCTTTCTTCATCCTACCTGTTCACAGGAGGAATGTGGGCAGGAATGTGTAGGCTTCCTCCCAGGGAGGTCAGGATTCTGGGGCTCTGGCAGCCAGTCCCCTGTGGAGGGACAGAGAACCATTGGAAGCCTCCTGGGGGTAGCTGCCCCCACCCAGGCCTGTGGTTAATGTGCTTCCTTCCAGCTTCTGGTGCACAAAAGCCTTAGCAAACCTTCAGAGAAAGATAAGCACCCATAGCTTCACCCACCTGGAAAAGTTCTGTCCTGAGCAGTTGCCAGATGTCACATCTTTGTTTTAAAGTCTAAAGTTGTTTTTCCCAAGTGTTCACCGTCTGTGAGCAGAAGCTTATATCATTGTGGATTCTGCTTACAGAAGATATGCATGAAATGCTCACTCACACATACATGAATTGCTATTTCATATAGTTTCATCAACCCTGTAATCGTGGTCTGACATTCTGGAATGCACAAATACAGAGATACTGACAAAGGGTCACCAATAGTCCATTTACCCAGCAAACATTTATTCAACACCACTACATTTTAATTTTTTTAATGTTTATTTTTGAGAGAGAGAGAGAGCGAGAGCATGAGCAGGGGAGGGGCAGAGAGAATGGGAGACCCAGAATTCAAAGCAGGCTCCAGGCTCTGAGCTGTCAGCATAGAGCCTGACACGGGGTTTGAAATCACGAACCGTGAGATCATGACCTGAGCTGAAGTTTGGACGCTTAGCAGACTGAGCCACCCAGGTGCCCTAGTGCTACTATACTTTGAGCGTGAGTTGTACAGAAATAAAAGCTAGAGGTTCCCCAAGTCAGTCACAGTCGAGGGAGGGAACCCCCAGGCAAGCAGCTTGAGTGTGAGGCCAAAGCATCTCAATGGGGGGTGCTGCGGGGCCTCAAATTCTCCTGGGCCACCTGGCCCAGGCCTGCTGAAAGATGAGGGTGGTCCCCAAGCCCTAAAAGGCCAGTAGAAATTAACTGACAGTGGGGGGTGGAGGAAGGGCATTTCAGGCTGAAGGAAAAACCCAATTTAGGACTGGTATAAAGCCCCAGGTCATGTAACATCTGGGTGACTCCAAGTGCGGCTGGATGGATTCAGTAATCCTGTCAGTTTAGATAGGAAGGTAACTTTCATCTTAGCCCAGCTCCTAAAGATTGGGAAAAGGAGGAATGTCTTATCACCCTTAAGGGTAAATATCAAAAAGAAATACCATACCAGAAAGATAACAAGTAATCAAGTTCAGGATTTTTGCCCAATTATCTGAAGTCCTGACCCTTGCCTGAACCCTTCTGGGTTTTTTCACCTAAGTGCTTGAGCTGAGAATCCAGAGCAGACCCACACAGGGACTGTGTCCACATCCCCCAGGGTATCCCCCTCTTGGGTCCTTGAGAGGTCAGTGTTGGCTGTTTATTACACCCCCTGGCCTATTGACTCCTGACTTTGAAGCACCGAGGCCCTCAGCAACTCGGCTATAGGAGGGATCTGCTCGAATTGGCTGTCGTATTACTTCCTGGATGGATGGAGGGCTTGCACATTCTCAAGCCTTTGGTTGAGTTCAAACAGTGGAGTTTTTTAATTTAGAAATTTGGAAGTTCTTGGTGTGCTGCCTTCACCTCCTTCACTAAATTGTCATTGTGACATTTGTATCTTTCTCCTGTGCTCCTCCTCAGTGCTACAAAAATGACTAGTACCCACGGAAGTCCCCACCAAGGACCACTCTATGGGTTCCGAATCGCATTACACTTGCTCTCAAAGAGAACCTCCTTAAACGATGAATTTTTAAAAGAGAAGGTGATGTCATCTATCCCTTTTGAGTGCGGATGGATCCTCAAGTCACATATTTATTTATTCAGTAATTACCTTTAGAACCTCTGTCACGTGCCAAGTCTCTCGGTGTGGGGTATGCAGGTTCTGTGGAGAAATTTACCCTCTATGATAACAAATAATGAGCCTTCTCTCCACCGTGATTAAGAACGCCAGTCTCAGCTCTGGAACTGCGCATGTAAACCAAGTACAATATACTTCTTTTCCTCAGTCAAGAATAATCCTTGTACGAAGGTGTCCACGTGTGTGATGGCAAAGGCTGTTCCCAAGTGTTTCTCATGTAAGATGTTTATATATTATGTGCAGTACCAGTGGTTACATGTGTGGTGTGGGATTCTTTCCTCGCTTACATGCCTGAATATTTTCTGAGCACAGTCGACGGGAATGAGTCATGCATGAAGCCATGGATAAACACAAAGGCCATTAATCACTTACATATAATCGATGTGTAGGACTGATTGCGAAAAAGAAAAACTGTAGAGTGAAACCAATTTTAAAGCTATAAAAGGTAAAGGGTTATGAGATTGGAGACCAGAAACATGCATTAGTGTGCCATGGATACGTCTTCATTCTCAGCCACACCTGACACTTCGGCAGAAAATGCGAAGACATGCCAGAGAATTTGCCGAAGGTGGCACTTTCTTCCATAGCGAAGTCTCCATACCACAGGGTTGGTTTCCCAAAGGGCAGGGGGATAACATCCTCCTGGTCTTCATACTAGAGATAAGGTCATGGCCTTGCTTTGGCCCACCTACACTGACCTCACGTTCTGGGAACTGAACAAGGGTATTAGTCTGGCCCCCCGGGCTTCCCAAACAATGAGGTCTTTCCAATTAGACCCAGAACAGCCCTTAGGGATAAACATAAAGATAGAGGTATTCTCATAAACAACTTTTGTAAAAAGGGAAAACTATAAACTTACACAAAAGCCTAAGTATTTTATAAGAAAACTACAAAAAAAAAAATTGAACTTTGGTTTCTTTTACATGTTTGATACAATCTTGTGAAAGAGCTCCAGGCCACATAGCCAGAGTTTTACCTGCATTCCATCATGGTACCTTGCCAGTTCAATGGTTTTCTTTCAAAGACAGTTAATGTTACTAAAAACACAAAAAGTGATCATCTAAAAGCAAGGCTACTTGGGGAATTCAGACAAAAATTATTTTGCAGGGGAACGTGTTCATAGCCTGGTGATATTAACTCCTCAGAAGATTTAAGATCAGTTTCAAGTCAACATCACACTGATGTTCCTTCTAACTACTCGTTCTTACAGCAAAAATTACCTGTCCTCCCAGGAGGATGGCAAAGGCATTGAATTTTATCCACGGCTTCCTCATGAACCCAAATCACATCCCTCTAACTGGATTTCTCCTACTTGATTGCCGAGACTAGAATGAAAAATTATTCCAAAGATAAAGTCCTGCTACGCTACCTCAAATGTGACTTTATCTTGTGAATTCTTAGAGTAAATCACCCCCCCCCTTTAATTATATTTCATGCCTAGTCAACATGTGGTATCTGGCTTCTGCATAGGGGGACATCTGGTTTGAGGGATGACAGCAGGGTGCTCTGGGCCTTGGTGATGGGACTCTTACCATTTCTGGTCACTTTTTACACCAACTTCAGCATGGGCTTTGAGCTGTGAGTCAAAGTAGTGGCCATCAGACAGAGGACAGTGAGGTAGAGGTGGTTTCCTTGGTCTGTGGACAAAACACTTGCCTTCCATTTCAGGGATTGTCTCTTTCATTGGTTCCCTGCATGCCATGAGCAGAGGAGCTCATCTTAGAAAGAAAGGTTAGCAGAACCCATGAATGGCAATGATTCCTCTGCCGTGTTACTCAGGGGTCACCTGAGGATAAGCCTCATCTACCCTGAACTTTTCACTGCTCATCTGCTCTACCCCCCAGGGTTCTTGACAGAAGAGAGAACACGGGTGCCTTTTCGGTATTATTATTTGTGCCAAAGTTAAGTTTCAACACAGGCATGGTGACCAGACATTGGTTGCAAACATACTACCTTGCTGGGGAATGTGGAAAATGAACTAATCTGGATCTTGGTGGATGTATCCATTGCCTCAGATTCTAGCAGCCTAGTAATGTTCACACTAAGGTTTGTTAGTCACAAAATAGAAAGATTCCATTAACAGCAGCTTCTCTCCGAGAATACTTCAGCTCTCCAAGCAGATCCTTATTCCCGGGTCAGTTCTGTGGTTTAAATGGAGATTCCGGGGCGCCTGGGTGGCGCAGTCGGTTAAGCGTCCGACTTCAGCCAGGTCACGATCTCGCGGTCCGTGAGTTCGAGCCCCGCGTCAGGCTCTGGGCTGATGGCTCAGAGCCTGGAGCCTGTTTCCGATTCTGTGTCTCCCTCTCTCTCTGCCCCTCCCCCGTTCATGCTGTCTCTCTCTGTCCCAAAAATAAATAAACGTTAAATGGAGATTCCTCTCCAGAAGGGTTTGAATCACATTGACCCCAAAACAGTTTTTGTCTCTGCTTTTGACGTTTTATTGTCTTGTATCTCTAGAATCCAATAAGTCTTCAAACTCCCCCGGAAGGAATGGATTTCGCTGAGAGAAATCTGTGGCACAAAAGCCAATGTTGTAATCCTAAAAGATGTGTTTTGTTGTTGTTTGGTTTGGTTCTGTGTGTTTTCTTGTGTTTTTGGTGGCCAGACTTTTCAAGTAGAGAAGCATTACTAGAGTAAAAACTGTTTTTAATCAAAAACCCCTGCCTCATGCTGTGAGGACTGGACAGTGCAGGGGCCACGTGCAGCGGGCCGTTTGGACGAGCCAGCACTGCCCTTCCCCGTGGCTGGGGGAAGTGTCTGGAAGGAATCACGTTGGAGGACCACACCCCAGCTGGTTCCAGTCATCCTGCCTGGGAATCAGGATGGATCAGGGCACTAGAAGTAAGACAACCACTGCCCTCAGGCTGAACTGTGTTTACATCTGGGGAGTCAAGTAGAACATGTATTTCAGAAAGTTTTGGGGCTGGATCTGTAGTAACAATGCCCAGACATTTGCTGTCTGTGTGGCAGACGCTACCAAACTTTCCATCAAAGAAGGCTGGTTGAACAACAAGTACTTCCTGTCTTCCTGAGCTCAACTTAAAACGAATGAAAAGGAGCCTATTAAAAGGTCTGAGGAGAACAAGGACATCTCAGGTGGACATTCATACACATATGAATCTGAATTAATAGATTTGGATTTGTCACAATAAACAAGACTCAATGCGAAAGCCCCCCACATCTCAGTGGCTTAACACAAAAGTTTATTTCTTGCTCATGTTACATGTCCAGCATGGGGAGGTAGGAGGGTGTGTGTATTTGGGCCACTCATGGACCTGGGCTGACAGATTTTATTGTTCAGATGCCGCCACAGCCACCTTGGAAGGAAAAAGGGAACACAACAAGTCAGGTCCTGATGCTCTTAAAGCTCCTATGTGCACCTCAGTTTTACTCACATTTTTAAGGTCAAAGTATGTCACATGGTCCCACAATTTTAAGAATGTAGGGAGATGCATCCTTAACATTTCTGGAGAGAGACCTGGAAATATTTGGTGACCAGCACCACGGCACACAGCTCCTATAGCTGACGTTCTGCTATTCTGGTTGTCAGCCCTCAACAATGGCTCCCTGCCCCTCAGCTGAAAGCCAGCCCTCGTGGTCACCAAACCCCATCTGTATATACAAAGACAACCCATCTTTGGCCTCCTTCTTGAAGGAGTCTCAACACAAAGGGGAGAGCAAGGTAAGATGAAAACATGGGAAAAGATCACTCAAATAATAGAAATACAAAATCTCTACCAACTGTTCTTAAAAAGATCCAAGATGCGACTGTATTCATAAAACTAGTATGGAATGTTCTAAGAAGAAACCATCAGAAAACAAAAAGATCTCAAAAACATGACTCTCAAAAATATGTGATAAAGAGCTTCATAAAAAAACAACAAATGACAGAAAAAATGTTTACAATAAGTCTAGTAAGTAAAAAGTTTGGGTTCAAAACATTAAATATATATTGATAGGTACTAAGGTATATATATATATATATTTTTTTTTTTAATTTTAGAGAGCTCCCACGAGTGGGGGAGAGGGGCAGAGGGAGAGAGAGAGAGAGAGAGAGAGAGAGAGAGAGAGAGAATCTTAAGCAGGGTCCATGCTCATTGTGAGGCCCCCAATGGAGGGCTCAATCCCCCAACCCTATGATCATGACCTGAGCTAGAATCAAGAGTTGGACATCAGCCAACTGAGCCATCCAGGTGCCCCTAAGATATACTTTTAAAATTCCTGCTCATCAAAAAAAAAAAAAAAAAAAA